GTATGACGTTGGTTTCATATTTCTTCCCCCATCTGACAGAAAAGTTTTCTATCAGGTCCTGGTTTAATTTTCTCCCAGAAATGTATTTTATTTCATCTACATCTACATTTCTTGTTGTTTTTGTCAATATAAAACATTTTTTTCAACTGCACTATACCATCTTGTCAACATTTTAAATGAATCGAATTTTTGGTTATTCGTTATTTTGCTATGGTGCATTTTTGTGCAGGTTCCAGAATTAACTGAATCAAATGTACGATTGCTCCAGTATCCTTGGCTTCCTTAGGCATTGTAACTGCCCCTTCCAAACTGGATTCATTGTAACAACAAAAGTAAATTTACAATGATGGAAATATTCCAATGGATTTTTATTTTAGGACAAAAATGGAACAAATTGGTCTATATCAACGCTGAAAAATCAAAGATGCGTAACTCCAATTTAGCTATTTTAAAGGAGATGCAATTAATCTTTTTGTATGCGTATTAGGGTGGTGCGTCAGTAGGGAAAAAATTTTTTCTCGGAAATTAAAAACGCCTGTATGCAGGAAAGTTGTGTTTTAGTTCTAATAATTTTTGTTAGATTTTTTTTTCATCTCCTTCCACCCCCAACACGTCCAAAACTCACGAAAAAATTGTATCGAAAATTTTAAACGCCTGTGGTTAATAAAGGTGTGTATTCGTAGGAGTATAAAGCAGTTTTTTTAGATTTTTTTCATCCCCTTCCACCTCCCAAAAGGGCCCCACTCACCTCGTTCTTCTTCACCGTTTTTAACCGACGGTTAAAAACGTTGGAAGGAAAAACGTTGACTGATATGTCCACACACAACAGTTTTTTTTGCGCCAGTTTATCACGATGGACCGTACGTGCTTGTTAGCAGTGGCAGCGGTTTTGGCATCTTGAGGAAAAAATCGCGAAAAAAGAAAATCTCGAAGAAAATGGACTAAAGACTGGCTACTTAAACGCAGTACACTGTCACAAACAAATTTACTGGAGGAGCTAAGATTGGAGCCTAGTGATTGGCACAATTACTTGAGGATGGACGAGGATACGTATCGGAAACTGTTAAAACTAGTAACACCATTAATTGAGAGACATAATACCCATTTACGGGAATGCATCAGTCCTCACGAACGCCTAACAGCTACTCTGCGGTTTCTGGCCACTGGCCGTACCTACGAGGATCTGAAGTTTTCTGTTATTTTTTCACCGCAGACACTAGGACGCATAATACCCGAAACCTGCCAAGCTCGATAAACTCTAATAAAAAATCTCTGTTCCACTGCCTATATCCGACATTTTTATTATAACCAGTTGTAAATAATAATAAACAACAAAAACTTGCTGAACGTCACTGCTACTGATAAATGCCCGACCAGTCAAACTGTTGAGAACACACACCTCGTGTTTACTCGAACGGTTGGCACGATAACCGTCAAAAATCAAGACTCGCCTGAAATTTTGGAACGAAGTTCATAAACGACGTTCTTGCCCATACACCTCGTTTTTGTGACATTTTTAACCTGACGTTTTTAACCGTCGGTTAAAAACAGCGGAGAAGAACGAGGTGAGTGGGGCCCTAAACAGGTTTAAAAATTACCAAACTTTTTTCTCAAAGATTAAAAATGCCTATATCCAGGAAAGCTGCGTTTTGGTAAAGAGACAGTGTATTTTATTAGATTTTTTTTTTCATCCCCGTCCCCAACAACATGGGTAGTGCCCACTTCTTTTTTCTTTTCCTCCCATTAAACTTTCCAGCTTACCTCGTGAAGAGGTAATAGGTCCAATTAATTTTGTTTCTTCTCACCTCCCTCTCACCACTCCTTGAATAGGTTTAGGTTAAGAAAAATACACTATAAATTTTAAAACACTTATTTCTTAGCGAAAGTTATATTATAAATAAATTGAAGGCTTTTGAATAAATATTCGGCAACTTTTCTTGGTCTATCTGATGAAAGTGGTCCAACTAATGTGTGATTGCCTAGAATTCGGTCATACATTTTCAGTAATCCATTAGTTATAATAATGACCGAAGAAAGTGTAACATATTTTTCGCCGCTCATTACTTTTGTTGTCGATTCCAATGGTGCAAGTAGTTTGATCAGCTGATTTATTTCTTCAAACTCATGATTGCTAAGGTTGGAAGTATTTTCATTGGCTAAAATAGCAAGAGATGCCTTTACTTCTTCTTTTAATTCAATTATTCTCTCCAATATATAATATACAGAGTTCCACTGCGTTGGAACCGACTGAAGCAATTTTTTGGAGTCTTTTCATTTCATTGTTGAAAGCTATCAAGTTTTATGACTTTTTAAAAAAGCTTACTTTATGCTTAACCTTATCTATGAGATCTTCCATTGATTTTAGTCCATCTTGAGGAATTAAATTGATGGTATGTGCTAAGCATCCAAAATGTTTCCACTTTAAATCATCTAAGAAAGTTTTCTTAATATTAGCAGCGTTATCAGATATAGCTACCAATATTTTTTTTTAAATCCCATTCTTTACAATTCGAAGTAGCTCATCAGCCTTTAAATAAAAAAATATCAAGAAGTACTGATTTGACTTCATAATTTGCGTCAATAAAGTGACCAGTAACGCCCATATAACTATCGTTGTTTCTAGAACTTCATAAATCAGTAGTAATTGTGAAAGATTCTACTTTTGATACAACACCCTTAGTTTTATTTAAGGTATCTAAGTACTTTGCTGCTAATAAAGTTTTAGACATCGTTTTTCTGCTAGGCAAAACCTATGATGGATTTAGTGCATGGCAGAAATCTCTGAATCCTGTATCTTCTACTACAGAAAATGGCTGAATATCTTTGGCAATGAGCTCTAATAATTTGTCGTCGATATAATATAGCGATCCGTCACAACCGTAGCGTAGCACGTAATCAAAAATAATGTATAAACAACATAACCGTTCAACAGGTTGGCGCAGTGTTGCCAGATGTTGAATATGAAATTATGGATCATTGTAGAGAAAATTATCGAATTGACCACAAAATTATGTTACACGCGTATTTTGATTTTTTTTAAGCTATGTGCATTTTTTTTATAAAATAACCTCTTACGTTTGTTTATTTAAAATTAAAATAATTATAACAAAAAAAACACTTTTATTTTTAAAAAATTTAAGTGCACAAAGATTTGTAAAATAAAGAAATATCTTACCTAATAGAAAATTAAAAAAAAAATAAATAAATAGGCAGGTACTTTAATATATTACCTACCAACATAATAAAAATAAACAAAATAAAAAAATGTAGGTAACATAATAATATTTTACAATAAAAACGTCAATGTTCAAAAGAAACTTCGATATTGTCTTCATTGTCGCTTTTATATAAGTTTGTTGATTTCATGGCATTTATCATTGTCTGACTAATGTCCAAACTATAACATTCACCATTTGTACTTTGCGATGACAAAAGAAGAGCATTTACAGTCTTAGTACAAAGTCGATTTCGAATGTCAGTTTTGATTAAATTAACCTTGGAAAATACTCTTTCACAATCTGCATTCGAATGAGGTAAAACTAGAATATCTAAAACAAATTCAGCCAGGTCTTTGTAAGGTCTGCTATCTGCCAAGTCTTTAATTAATGAAATTTTGTACCAATATACATCTAATAACTTTTCATTTTTAATATCGTCATCAAATTCACCTAATCAGTTAGAATATAATCGCCACTGATCGTCAATTTTTTGTTTTTGATCTGTATCTTCTCTTTTTAGAATTCTTGGTAGAGCATTTATTAATGTTATGATAGAGGTTGGTTTAGGTTTAGAATAACTTGGTTCGAATATTCCAATTTGAGATAAAATGTTATCTTTAAAGACAAATCTTTTTCTTATTTCAGTGGCGGCCACAATTAAAACTCTTTGGCATCTTATGTAAAAGTCGTCTTTTTGTGTGTCATTCAATAAATTAATGTTTTCTAATACTCTAACACCCAGGTAAATTTCATTTAAATTTATAAAGTTGCTATTATTATTTAAATCAATTTCTGATAAATCGGTTTTGTGTACATAATTAGGTTTTAGATAACATAATACAATTGCCCTAAATGTTTCACAATGATGTTATAACAACACGCTCATTTTGAAAATATGCATTTAATTCTACAAATCCATTGAAGAAAGTAAAAAAAAAGTTTGGTTTTTGGATCACTTAGTCCATTTGCAATCGTTTCAGATGACTGCAGCCTATGTCCAACCCACTCTTGAGTAAAATATAGTTGTAATGGACCCCATTGCTCGACTATTCTATTTACAACCATGTTCAGTGAAAGCCATCTAGTCTGTGAAGGTCGAAGTATTGTATGGGGCTCCACATTGCAGAATTCTTGAAATTCTGCAAATTGGGCTTGTCTTTTGGAACTGTGCTTAAAATAATTATATATGTTCCTGGCCAGTAGTTAATCCCACGCACAGACTTGCTCTTCTGTGGGACTATCATATTTATTTTTCCTAATATGGCTTATATTTTACATTGTTAACCTTACATAATATGTAATTATTTGGTAAATAAATATTATTATTATTATTATTATTATTATTATTATTATTATTAGATCCTCGCAGTGCCGTGGCAAAACCTTGCACGCTTCACTGGCACATAAATGCAAAGAATGACAGATATATTTTTGTATTATTATGCCCGGAAAATTTTCCTTTAATCTACTTACAACGGAGTTTTTTACACCAAACATAGTATTGCAGCCGTCTGAACCGAAACCTATGATATTACCAAGTGGCATATTTACGGATTCAAAAAGATTAATAATTTTGTTATAAATTACTTGAGCTGTAGCTCCAACCTCTGCCTCATCTGGGTTTTTATCTGAGAAGCACTGAACTAGACTAAAAAAAGTTGGTTTCTATTTTTTTTATTTTTCGCTAAAGAACCTAACACATACACACATGTTTTTGATTGTACCGATATCCGTTGATTCGTCAATTAAAATACTAAATTTTTTACATTTTAATTCTTTTACCATTTCGTTAAAATGACATTGTCCCAAAACATTTTTAATAACGCAGGTGCATTTTATTCGACCCATCTGTATTTCTTTAGCAATTTTCGAATCCGGAAAAATATCTTTTAGGAGGGGCGTTAAATGGTCGCTGAGTCTCATAGGCAAATTGTATTCAGAAATAAAAGCCGCAAGTTTTATTTCGGCTCGAGTTACCTTCTCTTGTGCATCGTTGGTTTTGAAAAATGATGTGTCAATTCTTGGCTGACTTGGTCCTAATTTTTTTACCGATTTTAAATGTTTTGAGCTCTTATTGTGGTTTTTTATTATTGTTATATCGGCTTGAAACTCTGTGTTACAAGCGATACATTTGGCTCGGAGCGAATTCTCTAAAAAAATATCGATAGCAATAAATTTGGATCTCATTTTTTGTTTGTTTAACTTACCTTTAATAGGTTTTAACCAGCCTTTAAGTGTATTTTCCCATTCAGTTTTATAATGTTGAGGTCTGGTGTCTCGCCTTCCCGCATTTTTAAATCTTTTTATTGCAATTTCATTATCAGAATCACTAGAATCGTCGCGAATATTTACTGCTCTTGAAGGGCCTGCCATTTTTTTTGTAAATTGCGAGAGAATTTAATATTTCTACTACCGCTGAGCTAAATTGTCGAATATCTACTGATTATCTGCTGAATGCTGATTACTGTTTCAGTTACATTGTTTCGGCCATCGTCGTGTCGTCGGCTTATTCGGGGAATCACGCGGTGAACACCAGACATACAAACAAGATTGCCAACAAAAGGCTATTTTAGTGCCGTGGGCAGTGGTGTCTCATTAGAAGTTTTTTTTACGTTAACTACCTAAATAATTTATTTATTATCACGAGAATATTTTGCATAATTTCTAAAAACCTAAATTATGAAAGGTAACCAAATTATGTTACAATTATCGATTATGGTACAGAAATTTTTTGTGATAATTTTGTTGCAAAATTATGTTACAATTCGATAATTATGTTACATCTGGCAACACTGGGTTGGCGTACTCGAATAAAATTACTTCAAATTATTCTCCATCTAGCGGCTATTAATAATAGTAGCCTTTTAAAATCAATAAAACAAAATACAACCCAATAAATAAATCGCAAATTAGACAAAAGGTGTCGCATGCGCAACGCTATCTTAAATAATTGCTGTCTACAATCACCGTCTACCACTTAGATACACAAAGCAACCAATTTTATTATAGATTTCTACACTCTGAAAATAGGTCGGTAACAATGCTGGTAGCGAACAGCCGTTTTCAAATGCAACACGCGACATAAAGTCACATAAACGCGCATGCCGCCGTCAACCGAGATAGTCGAATACTTACCAGCGCAGGAGCCAGCGTTGCTAGATGAAATTTTCTGTCGTCCCTAGATTTCGTTTTAAAAATCCCTAGATTTCCCTAGAAAATATCTAATATATATCTGGTTGCATAATAACACACATTTTTTTAAAAACAAATTTATTGTGAAATCATTTATTAAGAGGAGCATAGAAGCAATGGATGGAAGATATCATTTGCTAGGAGATGCAGCTTATCCCATATGCCTTTATCTCCTTACACCATATAGGGATTATGGAAATCTTACTCCAGAAAAAATAAATTTTAACTTGAAACTATCCCAAACAAGGGTAGTGATAGAAAATGCCTCTGGATTACTGAAAAACAGATTCAGGCAGTTAATGAGTGTCGATTTTCACACAGTTACAAAGATATCTAAATTTATATTGAGTTGCTGTGTTCTGCATAATTTATGCATCGACAAAGAAGATTCTTGGGAAGAAGAAAATGCAGTAAATGATGAAGGTGAAACCCCAGATCAACCCAGGGATTTGTTAAGAGCACTGGGAGAACAAAAAAGGGATGAATTAGCAGAGATATTGTTCAATATTAGATAAATGTTTTTTTATTGTGTATATATAAATTAGGTAAATAAATTTTATTTCAATAAACTAATTAATTGTTCTATCACATTTATTTAACATTTTAAATATAATAAATATACATACAAAAAAACAAAAACATAAAACTGAACTATAAAAAAGTACATAAGAAAATATATGTACAAAAAACACTGAAACAAAATAAACAAAAACAGATATAAAAAACTTTTAAACCTAAACTATAAATAAGTATACAAGTAAATAAATATACGTACAAAAAACACAAACATAAAATATTAATAAAAACAAAAAACAACTAAAATAAATACGTAAAAGTTTGAAAACTGGAGTAATAAAAACAAAACTAATTTATTAGTAATATAAAAAAACAAACTTTAATATAATATAGATTAGAAGTTTATTTTGATGTGTCTTCTTTAGTTAAACCTAAAACAAACAAAAATTACAATTAATAGACTAGAGTTCGTAAAACTTGTTTTAAACCTCACGTACTAATTATTCGAAGAAGTTTTGGATCATGAATAGAATATAATGCAAAAATAACTAAAAGTACCTAGTTAACAAAAAATAATTGTGATGCTGCCAGATTTAAATCATGTAATTTACATAGTAGGAAATAAAGATTAGTTTTCTATTGATAATTCAAGCTTTCAACAGGCCTCAAACTTTAAAAAAATATGTATTGATTACATCATACATACCAATTTCTTTGAGAAGAGCTAATTTTTTTCTGTGTCTCCTATCTTTCCTTTCTTCTTTATCTTTATGAATGTCCCATAAAGTATCTACGACACTTTTTTTCTTATTTTTTTTTTTTTTTTCATTATTTATTCTCTTTTTTACTTTTTGTTTATAATCATATTATTTAAGTCCATTAGTACCTCTGGTTGACGTTATCGTCCTTGCTTGCAATTTTTTTTTACTTCTGCCTCAAATGTAAATGTATGTTCCGTTTCTCCACTCCTTTCATTTAAATTTGAAATAATTTTTTTTCTTTTCATAACAGTTTTATATCTGTTTTCACATTGAGGCCCTAATCTCTCAATGCCAAATACATGTCTTTGGCTATGTATTGCCACATAATTTTTTTGTTTTTAAATTTTTTTAGTGGTCCTACAGCATCCATATACTCTTCATACTTATCCAAAAGTAGCCTCGTCTGTGGATCATTCCAGGAAGCTAAAACAATATTTTAATGTTTATTAGTACTAAAGACAACACCAAGTTTTAAAATTTTGTTAATAAAACTCCATTACAATAAAAATTGGGCAATTATATATTTGAATAGGTAATATTGAAATTCTTATTTTATTCTGTACCACAATGACTTCCAGAAGCTACCGCATGATTCTCGGCTATAAAAAAATTTGGTTACTTTAAAATTAATTTACTACTTGATGTTTCATTACATTCAGCTGTAGAAGCATCACTTATTGCCTGCTCCTTGGTATCCTGAGTCATCGTTTCTACTTTTTCATTTCTAGGGTGTTTCTTTTTGAAATGATCGGTGACTACGGATAAATAGTTTATGAAACCACATACATCGCAACGAGCTAAAGTTTGATCATTAGCGTTCATTTTTGATTTTAATTAAATATTAATTCACAAATAAAAACACAAAAACAGTTAAATTCCCAAAACAGTGAAAAGTGTCAAAACACGTGTAGTGACAGTTGACAGTTGTTTTTGAATCCTCTGTTCGATTCTAAAACTGCTTTGAAAACGAACGGGAGTGCCCATAAAGCGAATTGTGACGTCATTTCGGAGCAACTGGCTCGGGGCAAGAGCAATAGAATCGAAAACGCTATTACAGATGAAGGTGCCATTTGACTTACAGATGAGGAAACCCCCACCCACCATCATTATTTGCATATATATTAGTTTATTTCCATACAAAGTACAATCTATTTTTACAAATATTTACTAGTTTCTATTAAAAATAATCCTTATATCACAAACATGTTAATCTCTAAAGTTTACCTAATGACTTAAAAACAAATTCTTATTATAAATTATCTTCAAATATATCTATTATGTTTAAGAAAGTTACTCTAATATCACAAACATTACATTACTATTCAGGTACATTAACTATCTTTGGTTAAAAAAATGAAAATCAGAAATTGCACAATAAATAATTAATTTACTTGATATGAAAACTAATGCCTAATAAATTATCAAAATAAACAAAAAATTCTTCTTGAATCTTGGGAAATAAAACAAAAGCAACCATCCATATAAACTGAAACAGAAAAAAATTAAACGCAGTAACTTCAAATCACTTTGTTTGTCTTTTTTGTCTTTTAGACATTGCCGCATCCCTCATACTATCATTATAATACTTTCTTATTATTAATGGTAGACAAGTTTTGACTAAATGAGAAAAGACGTCTGTTTTATGTTCTTTACATGTAAACCATTCAAAATCAACATGATCTGGCAAAAAAGTTTAATTTTTTGAATTATGTTGTCAATATGACCCAAAAGTGGTAAAATTGTATAAACAATTTCATGAATTTTTGAAAGAAATTCAATAACATTTCTGTGTACATAAATCATTTTATCATCATTTTCTTTAAAATAAGTAAAAGTATGATGGTCTTCTAACATGTCTGTTTGCAAATTAGCTTTACACTCTTTGCAGTCTAAACTATTAAGTTTCTTAACAACAAACCCTGCAACATAACTAGTGGCCTGACTCTCAAATTCTGCATCTTTAATAATTTTGCGTCAAAAAAGTTTAAATCTATATTGTCTAACTCATTATTAATATTACAAATTAATTCTTTCGGTTCTGTCGAAATATCTAAAAATGAATTTAAATTTTCTAATATGCTGGTTTCATCAGCTTCGCAATAGGAATTGTAATTTCTTCCTTTCAATTTAAAATTGATGTTTTAAAAGCTGATATAAATTGGTAACAATTTGGAGAAGTATTGGCAGCACCATACTACCGAATTGTGTCAAACATATTTTCAACCGGATCTTGATTTAAAGCGCGGGTTCTGATGAATTTGAATCCCTTTTTCCAACATTCATTCATAAGTAGTTTGACACCCCTACTAGTAATTAACCAACCGGTCTTAAAAGGCATTACCTTCTTCATAGGTTTGCCATTTTTTGGTAGAAACTGCCAAGATTCTATTTATGGCAATATAGAATTCCAAAATTCTAGATGTTTAGATCTCCTTGAAGCACACTGTCTAAGAGATTTACCACTAACGACACTTGGGTTATTACCATTAAGGCTGTCAAAGAGCTTATCAATGTCCTCAATAAATTCAGCAGTATAGATAGCTTCAGATGGTAATTTATTAGGTACTATTAGACTTTCGATGGCAGCAGCCATGGTGTGGCTCATTACTTTTGCAGCAGCTGAAACTTTCATTTTTAACTTACTATTTCTATTAATATCCAAAAAAGATTCTCTAACTTTATGTAATGCTTGAAATTTCTTAGTTTTATCAAGATAAGAAGCTTCCTCAATATAGTTTAATTTAGCACATTTAGAATTATTATCAAAATAAATATCATAATTAAACAAGGTATTTCTGGTACATTTTAAAAGATGGGGAGGATCGTACAAGGTAATTATCCTCTGTCCATTGACAAAAAAATAAGGACCAGGTTTTTTAATATTACTATCTGCTCGTAATTGTTTCAGTGCAGTACGATTCGTATTCCCAAGATCGCAAACAGTTGCCATTACATTTAACCCCACTTTTTGTAACTCTAAAATTACTTCTACAAGAATGATTTTCAAATAGTCAGTTTTAACCTGATCTTTAGTGAAATAATAAGCCCCTGGCTGCTTCCAAGCCTTTCGTAACCCATTAATTACAAATGCCAATGCGTGGTCAGCTGTTTGTAATTTTCTTCCTAAATTGTTACCGAGGTCTACGAACCCTACGACTTTATCACTAGCTACATCCAAAGTCAGTTGTCCAGTAAGAACTATTTCGTCAAATAATAAAACACAATTTCTATCAATTTGCTTCATTTTAGTTTCAAATGGAACTGATCTAAAAAGTGACTGTAAAGTGGATTTACTAGGTAATGAGATGAAACGTTTTAAAAAATTATAAGCTCGTGGGCCCTTCTTGTATAAAGCTAATGACAAGACTTTATCTGATGTTGTCCAAGAAGGTTTCATCTTTTTTGAATCAGATGTAGTGCTGTTTAAAAATCTCATGCCTGCAGGATCGAATTAAATTGTTGAAATATCTTTGATTCTGAAATTTTGACTGCATTTTTAATGTTACGTTTTGAATTACTTAGGGCATTTTTAATTTGCAAATTTGACTTTTCTGTTTTCTATTAAAAAAATAAAGTTTTATCTTTCTAAATAAACTATTAACTCGAGTTTCATTAATTTTACTTAAAAATCCATTATCTAAACTTTGTTTCTTAGGTAATAATTCAGAATCATTTGATGAATGACTATCATTGAAATTTTGATCTATATTATTAAAATTTAACTTTCTCTTCATAGTTAATCTGTTTGGAGGTGTGATGTCAATATTACTAAGTACTACTATCTTTGGTGTATCTGGTTTTGAGGGTGCTAAAGGCAAAGCAAATTTCACATAATTTATAATGATTGGTTGTAAGTGGAATGAGTGGAATGTTTAAAATGCGGCACCATTCCTTTCTTTGATTAATATCAGAAGGAAATTTAAAAAAATGTTTGTTCTTAAAGTTTACGTTTGAAATGGGTCTATAAAATATACTATTACAATTGGAAATTATGCATTTATAATGAATTCTGCCTGGTGAAGACATGTTAAAGCATCAAAATACTTTTACTTAATTTTAAATAATCCTATATAACTTATATCTAAAACTTAAAACTTAAATAAATAAAAATACTTTCACTCACATGTTTTCGTCGACAACCATAACCATATTTTTTAAAGGAGTTTTAAAGGAGCGCGGGGCCCGCGACAGCGGGCAGCCAGCAGTCATGCATCGGACAGAAAATCAGGTTTACAGTGTACAAATAACTAAGTGAAGGCATGTTTTTTTAATTTATTGTAAAATATGAATTAAAATTTTTGAAACAATACTTTTTGTTTGTTACTGAGCGAGATCTTATTAAATTATTCAATGTTAATACAATTTTGTTATTGTAAAACTGACTTCAGTGCACCCAAACGCAGAGTTGCATGCGCAGAAACGTGTTTACGTATTGTGCATATGATATAAACCCACGTGAAAAAGCGGTAACTGCTTTAACTTCTATTTGAAAATAGCGGTTTTGCCCATCCCTAGCGCATACTGTGATGCAAGTGTGCTTCTCGGCGGGGTACTTGCTAACCAGAGCCATTTCATGAACGAGTGCAGATTAGTAGCGCCACCTTGGGCATGATAGCAGAACGAGCAGCCAGTACATCTAGCGTATGTCGCTTGATAAGTGAAGTAGGAAAGGAGAAAATAGAATATGCCCTTTGCAGTGGCGTGCTGCTACATTTTCTTATTAGAGTACCCTGTGAACCTATTGAATATTTTTTTGCTAGATTTGCAAAAAATGCTTCTACTAAGATTTAGGAGTATTTTTCCAGATGCAATTATATCAGACAATAATTCCTGGGAAGGCAGTTTATTGTCTGTTAGAAATATTAGACGTCTAATGAACATTTATGTTTCATAACAATTGTCTGTAAGATAAGAAAATATAATGAATTCCCATTTTATATAAGCTATTAATTATGGAAAATTGTATTAATTTTTGAATTTAAATAATATTTCATACCTAAATTACGTCGTCGCATTAGTTGATAATTGTTTGCAGTATTTTTATAATCCACCATTATTATTACAAAAACAAAGGTTTATTTCTTTAATCTAGAGGAACTTATTTTGGTACATAGAACAGAAAAAATAGTCTCTTGAACACTTGGTGCACCATTTCCCATGATGTTCACCACAAATAGCATGTTTGCATTGTGGATAATATGTGGTTGTCGTGCGTCGTAATCGGCTGGGGCAGTAAAAACACATGGCTCGCGTACCTTCAACAAGAGGTTGATTATTAGCTACCGGATTAATTTTCAGGATTTCCCCTATGGTTTTTGACGCGATCGATGGCAAGCTGGTGACATATATCAATCATAAACTGTTATCGGGGAAGGAGTTTTTTTATTATTTTTATGGTATTGCAGCAATACAAAACATAGGCATTGATACAGGAAGCGTTGACCATTGCATAAAAAACGCAGAGCGGCCAACATGTTGTCTTTCTACTGCAAGACTTGTTTGAACACAATTGATAAAAAGTGTCCACTCCTGATTTTGTTTCATTATAATTTAACCCTTTCACCAATTTACATTTTTTATTTTAAAATTCTGATATTTTGCCAACAAAATAATCGATTTTTTCAAAAATTTTAGGTGAAAAAAATCAAAAATATCTATCCCCACCCCAATGATTTAATGTCCACATTTGTGACTTTATGACAATATTTTGTAAAAAAACAGGTATATAAAAATTACTTTTCTTTCTTATGGAAAGCTAAAAGACAGTTTCTTTCTTTAGATATACATAGATGTACGGTGGCATTTTGGGGTTAAAATTCACT